CGATTCCCTGGCGCCGCTTCGTCGCTCGCGGTGCACTCGGTGATGTGCATTTGGAGTAATTGCAGGTTCTAACTGATTGCTGGTGAGTGGCACGCAATGGTCGATCGCCTGGGTTTGTTTTGTTCCGTTCTGGATACTTTCAGTTAAGGGGTGCAGGGAGAGTCGGTTGACTGATTCGGTGGTCTTGCAGTGAACAGCGAAGCGAATGCGCGTCGCATCTCGAACGTTGAGGCTTGTTTCGGCAGTGCTGGTCAACCTCTGGCAGCCTATGGGCGCGTCCTGGTTGGTGAAGGAGTGTTGGTGAAGATGTGCAGGTAGGTAAAGCTAGCACTTCGCTTCTCAGGCCTCTCTGTTTGCTCTGCATCGCTGTTGTTCAGGAAGAAGCCGAAGCCTCGCCAGTTCTTTCTGTTCAATGACATCCTCGTCTACGGCAATATTCTGTTCTCAAAGAAGCGTTACAATAAGCAGCATGTGATTCCGCTGGAAGAGGTGCAGCTCCAGGATCTTGAGGACGAAGGCGGTCTGTGCTGCTTCTTTCATCGTTCATTTCGATCAAGCTCTCTTTTGGTTCACTTCTGGTGGTTGGTTCCCAGCTTTGGCCACTGGCACATGCGATGCAATGATTTGCCGGCATTTGCTGTGGTATTTTTTAGATATGAAAAATGGTTGGTTAATTAAGACGCGCTCGAAGTCTTTCGCTGTATTCGCCGCAACCAATACGGAGAAGAAGGAATGGATTCTGCACATTGATCGCTGCATCCACGATATTCTTACCAAAGGTAACACTGTGCCGTTTGGTATACTTTTTAAAGCAGCATCACTTTACTTGGGAAAGCTGTGCCTGCAGTAACTCATACTTTACTGTAATGAAATATGCTTCAGAGTGGAAATGTGAGTGCTCAAAATTGTGTTCAAAGAAAGAATTGCAAATTAATGCGGTTCACTGAACGCTGCTACTGTTTTAGTTTCATTTCGCAATTAAACTAACATTTGGTGGCGTTTTAGAGCAACTTCCTTTTCCCTGCTGTGACTGAACAGATATGGATGGTGTGACATTCATTTATGCGGAAAAACCTAAACCGGCGAACTCAAAAATAAATCGGAGGGCATAAACCTCATCCAGACCGGCGCAAATTTCGGCGACTGTGATAAAAAAAATTTATCGATGGAGCGAGAGATATAGTTAGAGGGTATTAAACAGTGTTGAAAAGTAGTATTTTACTTTTAAGAAGTGGATTTGTGGATTCTGATTGCTAAAAAATGTTTTCCTGAAACTGGCGGAGCATATTGGTGGGGGATATTTTGAATACAAGCAATCCTAAATTATTAGGTCCCTCTTTGCTGTTCTGTGGAAGGTGGTCACGTCACTGGAACTAAGTTGGTTTGACCAGTGCAGTGTGTTAACTCAGATTTTTTAAGGAGGTAAGAAAGCGGCAACCGAGCACGCGGCAGTTTGGGTACCAGATGGTGAAGCGACTAGGTGCATGGCTTGTCAGAGGACCCAATTCACCGTCATACAGCGCAGGGTTTGCTTTTGAACTGTAAAAATTCCTCGTGCCCCGCGCATTAACAGCAGCCCTGCCGTGAGTTATTTGTGTGTTACTGTGTTGGCATTGCTGTTTCGAAAGGTATCGAGACCGGCCTGTTGCCGTCTCTACCTTTTAGTACGCAGAATAGCTAACATCTCACATTTGTTTGCCTGTATAACGAGCCGGTCTCGAACCCACTCACTCTTTATCCCACTCTGCTCCTGCTTGTTCGACGTGTAGAAGTGTTCACTTGGTCAAGAAGTGATTTTGTCTTTCCTCAATTTCAGTTTTATTAACATTTCACATTATTTCACACCTCTCATTAATTTATTATTTCCTACTAGCCTTTATTATTTTTGATTATTTATATGGATTGCTTATATTTTTTATTAGTTACCATTACAACATTTATATACTTTTATTATTACTACTGTTATTGCGTCG